TCTTCATCCTGCATAGCTAATAATCAAAAGTAAAGGTAAGAATCTTTTTCCAAACTCTACCAAGAATTTCCCATAGATGATTAAATTCACCTCTCACATAAATAGGAAAACAAGACGTAACACTAGTAAGCAAAGCAAGTAACTTTATTTTGAAGCTACTTCATAAAACAAAATTACTACCTTAGACCCAACAGACCTACCTTGGCTGACATATATACAAAGATTTGGTAGTTAATATAATGCATCCATGGGGCCATGTGTGACTTGGCAGTTCCACATAGTCTTCATCTTCTTCATCTCTGCCAATCCGCCCTACAACAGATGACCTGCCTGAGCGCGGTGGACTGCTGTTAGCATCCTGTGAGATCAAGGGGGGACTAGAGTGCATGGACACAATTTCTTCGTCCTCCGGCAAGTCTATTTCCTGGATCACTGGGTTCACCTTGCTGTCCTGTAAAATATATAGGTTTGGTTATAATTGCTTGATAGCTGATACTATACATAGATCATGTAATCACTGCAATAACTATGCAAGTTGAATGATAGGCTTTCATTTCACTCTTTTCTTTTAACAGACATGCAGGAGCTACCTAAAGTGTCTGCATAAAATTTCCTAAAATAAAATCTTTTTGTATGGAAAGTGCATATAATAAAAAAGGAACTAATTGAAAAAAAGGAACCTAATATAGTCATACTTAAATATTCTTAAATATACTATTAATACACTAATTAAATAAAAATACCCCCAAAGTTGAAATAAGAAATAAAGAATTATCATAATCTACATCATTTACACAGGGAATGCACAATGTTCAATAAAACTCATCTCACTACCCTCCCTTTCCCAGGAATATCTGATCAAACTAAAAACTTACTATAGTTCCATCTATCTTTGATGAGGATGAGAAGAATGTAGAGATGATGGTGAGTTTCCGCCGCGATGTTGCATCTGAGAGGAAGATCATCTCATCTTGGAGGATGATTTTCTCAGCATCAGGTATAATTTTGAAGACGAAGAGAGGAGTGGGTTCCAAATCAGTGCTGTAAATCTGTTGGCAGAAAAGACATGACTTGCTAAATATTGTAAAAGTAAATGAATGCACACAAACTTTCAACGTGCATGTGCATATGTATTTGTATCATTCAATCATAAGAACAAGAACAAAATGAGAAAACAGTCCGTAAAAAGAGTAGGTACTGATGACAAAAAAGTAATCCACTAACCATCAATGTAGTGTTTGGTTTGCAATGCCCTGCTAACAGGTATCTTTCTTTGGCATACTGTGGTGTCGCAATAACGTCATGGATGAATTTGCAGAGCCTCTCGGGTCTTGCAGAGATGCATGGAGCAGCCTCTCCGTCACCCCCTGAGGCTATGGAGGTTGTGGAGGTTGTCATAATTTGCTCTGGGGTAGTTGTGGCTGACAGTTCATCAATATCACAAGTGTCCACACCTGGAATAAATAAAACAATAGTTACAGTGCTTGTTTTCTCTGCAGCAAGGTCGAAGCTCTATAGGGTATTTGGATGAGCTTGCTGATTCTCATAAATATATATTCTTAGATTGAAAGTAGATGGTAAATGAAATTTCTTGGCTTTTTAGGACCATGTGCCATCATTTTTAGCTGTAAAACTTTTTGGTACGGTCAAGATGAGTTATCACTGCTAAAATATACCTACTTCACTACTGGTTCATCCTATAAACATTCAAAACCCTATCTCGGTTTTATGTTGATGGTGGGTACCTGAAAGCGAGGATACCCAACAAAGTTATCCATGGCCTCTTCATGTTTGCCTTGAGAAATTTATATAAGGAACTCCAGTATAGATCTGCAATTATAAAATTGTTGCACTAGGTGGTAATATAATAAAACTGCTCTAAAATTAAGCCCAGTCCTATTTATCCTAAAGAAAAAATGTGTGCATTCATACCCCACCCCTAATAGCCTTGAGACTGATAGCCAGGCACACCTGCACACAAAGAGTCCGGAGACTGATTATATCTCCATTCAGCTCAGTTCACCCTAATGCAGAACGGACAAGTACTGAATGTATCTCTAAAAGTCTACTTTGACATCAGCCTGTGGTAAATCTGGAAGCCATGGATTTGGTACAGGGCATAAAAAAAATGTAACAGAAAAATTTTAAAATGCATGAAAACACCATCAACAGGACATTACTAACTTGGGGGTCTTAGGAGTACATAACTGTAAGAACATCTAACATTTCCAACTAATATTTTCTGTTACTGAATGCAACTTCAACACTTTAGGGATTCTGGGTCAATTTTAGAGTAAATATTCCAGTCTATGTTTGTTTGTTTTTTGGCCTTAAATTTATAGTTAATCTATTATTTCCCATTTCTGGAAGGCTCGTTCAACTTACGGCCTTATGGTGCCTCTCAAAGAAAAATATCAAGCTTTCATCTTGATTTTCATTCAAGAACTCAAAAGTAAGCATGGCCTGAGGTCCTGCACAATCTTTTTTCCTTTTCTTATTATCATGAAGTAAAATGAGATGCAAATAACATTACAATATTACAGACAAGGCATTAAATGTGAAACCTAAAGCAAAAGCTATATAATCTGTCCTTTATATCATGTGCAACAACTAATGTTGGATGGCATGTACAAAAGAACAAGCAAAAAGTGTAAAGGAGGAAAAAATCAAAAGTACTTAAGTAAAAAAAAAAAGGACAACACAAGACTAATGAAGGGTTATGCAGGTGGCAGGTTCCATCTCCCTCTCTCCTGTGATACAGCGGTGAAATCAAGGTCACGAGACATGGCGGACAATTCTGTCATGCTCAAAAGAGGTTGTCTTAATTTCATCTGCATTGGAAATGTGTAATATGGTAACCATCTCCAGGTGGGTGCTAATATTTTTTCTTTTCAAATCCACTTAAAAAAACAGAGAAGTGTGAAAAAAGGAAAACCGACCTTGGGTCAGCCATTAGTCATAGAAGTGAAATGGCAAAAAGCTGAACAGTCCTTAGGAGTGTGTATACCCATGTAAATCTTGGGTACTGCATATTTACTGTAAATGATACTGATAGATATAAAAATCATCAAGATTTATGTAATGGCTGGCCAGGATGATAGATAAGAGAGGACAGCTGTGGTGCCCCAAACGTACCCATAAAGATGTGGACCCATTTCCGTGCAGAGTGTGTTGCCAGATGGAAGAACCAGGTGTTACCACAACACACAAACACAAATTAATGTTTGTTTTCAGCCAATATCATAAGAAATATATCATGGCTAACATATGACAAGATATCTATCTTTTTCTTATAAACATAGTCCTGTAATCATCTACAGTTTGTTTTCATAAAAATCAATGATTTATTTATTTATTTTTTTTTTATTTTTTTATTTTTTTTTTTTTTGTATATAAGTGCTTCGCTATATCAATTACATATTATCTTCTCCATTCAGTCATCTTGCTAAGATTACCTATAGAGATTGTAATCAAAGCCTCTTTCATGTTAACTGAATTTTGGTGACAGCTACTGATAATCAAATTGAATATCATCAATTCCATATCCATACAAAGAAGGGCAGTACATCAACTTAGCTCAATACATATGAGTAAATAAAATTAGATACACAAAAAGGAAAGATGACAGAGAGAAAAATAGTAAGTGAATAATGTAATGATCCATTACCTTTATTTTCAGTTAATGGTTTCCTCCTAGTGCCCGTCTTGGCCTCTGCAAGTCTTTGCTTAAGCATTTGCAGCTTCTCCACTGACAGCTGCTTAAGGCCAAGCAGCCGGGATCGGTGGGGGGGTCCCGAGCGATGCAGCGAAGCCCCAGGACTCTCATCATCTGGCCATTCAGGGGTTATGTGTTCGAGGGGAAAGAGATACTGGCTACTGCGCTGCTCCAGCACCAAGCGCCACTGCCTGTCCTCTGGCCCTGTGATCTACAAGGGATGCTTTGGTTACATATGTGCAGCTAAGGACACAAGAAAAAAAGAAAACTACATGTAAGGATACCACGTCATATTTTTCAATAAAAGAAAAAAAAATAATAATAAAAATAAATAAATAAAAATAAAAAATAAATAAAATGAGAAAAATAAATTAAAAAGTGTATAATTTGACAACCATGCAGTGATATTTTACGCTTACATTTCTAATATCAAAAAATTTATGGTATATGTCACTTTTACAATCTTTGTCCAGAAATATACATTTTATGTAGGAAACTGCCCTTTAACCCACTAACATGTGAGACACCCAAAAAAATAAACATTGCTGGGTGTCCCGCCAGTGTGACACTGTATCGGGGCTCATGCTCCAACGCAGCAGCGGGCTACAGCCGGCGGGCGGGCAGAGTTCAGGGCAGCCCTGCATGCCGACTTTGTAGCCGCTCGGAACCTTTTATTTTTGGCTTCAAAATATATCAGCGTTAATCGGCGTAATTTTATCTATGGAATCTTTACCTTTATTCCCAACAAAAAAACAACAATATTCAGTTTAGCATTTTTCTTTGTAATCTAACCCCTGCGATCTGGGCGATGTGATGATACCGTCATGGAAAAATCTGGGTTAAAGGCCAGGTAACGTGAACTTGCTGTCATCGGGAAAAATGGCCGTGAGCCAGGTGGCGTGATCTTGCTGGCATGAGTGAAGGCCAGGGTGATGGAAAAGATTTGTCATAAGTGCACTACCCTCTTGGAGTGTGATTAGACTCATTTGGCACTTAGAATGGGGCTTTTGCGATATTCACATCGACAACCAAATGTGGAATATTATGTATGTAAGCTGTGACTTAAAGAGTACTGGCTCCAGGGAGGATGTCATTTCCATGCTCTGCATTGTATTCCTGGCCAATGTGATCTATGGCACGGAAAATTGAAAATTACGAAAAAAAAAGACTACTACATAGAGATTATATAGAGTCTACACAAGGAAAATAATATTTTACCATTTGGATAAAGTGAATCAAAAGACAAATATGGACATTGGAAAATGGCAAAAAAGCTAAAAAAGTTTATGCAAAATAATGGAGGCATTGAGTCTTGCCACAACTCATTAGTGTCTGCACGCGCCCAGCCCAAGTGCCTTACACCTGGGATATTGGCCACTTACGTAAACCACTGCTCCTATTTTTGGTCCTGTGATTTCCCAGACACAATTGGATCCAACAAGTTAGGAAGTGTACAGGGGAATGGCTTCAGAATTCTAGGACATAGTCCAAGGATTAAGCTGAGAATCTAAGAAAAGGATGATGTGAAGAGAAGAAAATAAAAATTGTCCTATTATAATAAAAATTTATAACGTGAGATGAACCTCCTTTGTTGACTCAAATCCCATTGGTAAATCCGGAGTTACAGAGATGGGAAGGGCAGTGTGACTGGCTATGTCCCACAAAGCATCACCTATTTGGGACAAATACTCCAGCACATCCAGGTAGTATGCAACCTCAATAAAGGATGTTGTCCATATGATGCATCTGCTGTGAAGGAATCATGAAAATGAGTTTCTCATCACCTAGATGAGCAACAAGATAAGGTGCACATGTTGACTGACGATACTACTGACCCCCTCTTGCTATTTTATAGCAAGACCATTTGGGACAACGTGGATAATCAGACTGTGAATAAGGGAACATGGGCCACATATTTTAATTTTACTTCAACAGATGATGTTCCTACTCACCACTTCTGCTCTAAACAAGAGATGTTGTGGTGCTTTTTTTACCAGAAGTAAATGATGAGGTGACTTAATTTCTGTCTTTTCCTGGGAGTTGTGGTTAGATGTGTAGTGAGTGTGGCCTACTCGAGGTACAGGAAGCTGATGCTGCAAGCATTCATCCCCTAGTGCAATGATGGAGGGAGCCAACACATGAGCTTGCCTACACTTCAATGCAGGCAGGTTTTGGCTCAGCCAGTGGTAAAAGTATTGTTCTTGTTGCCTCTTCATATGGTCAATTTCTCATTTCTCTGGCGGAATGGAAAGGGACCATCATATGCTGGCTACAGTGGAGGATGGGTCATTCCAACATGCATGAAGCCATGTGCAATTTCTCAGGTAAGTAAAGTTTTGGTAAGGCCTGGATCTTGCTGGATGGGTGGGCTTGGGCCTAAGTAGTTGTATCTGCTGCTGCAGGCCTGAGATGAAGTTGAATGGAAAGGAGTGGTCCTAAGTTGAATCTGTGAAGAAGTCACCTGGTTGGGCCAGACTACTGCTATGCAATTTAGGTCCTGAGGCAAAGGCTTATTACATGGGCTTGTACTGCTACCAAAGAATCACCCTTGGTCTGTTCAACAGCAAACAGTTTGAAATCTATGGAGGAATCCTTTGCTATGATGGTACTGATGGTGGCTCTGGAGAGCGTGCTCATAGGGCTGCGTGCCATAAGAGTGAAAGTTGCTGTGACTGTGCTGCTGCTCTGTGGAGACAAGGGTCTGAACTTTGATAGAATCTTCTATGAAAAAATACTTCTTTTACTTTGTTGCAAGAGTTGCCTGAAAGGCTAAGGATGACAACTTGTAAAAGACACACAATCTCCAGCCAGAGGCTGCAGATGAGGTATTTGATGGACTGACTGATGATAACTAAAGGTCTACTTCTACTTGCACCAACCAAAGGTGTGGGGTGTTTGGGTTGTAGAGGAAGACTGAAACAGCCATCCATGACTGCAGAACTCACTCTCTTTAAGGTTCACCAATGGTGTTAGAAACAAACCAGTATTGGTTTGGTCAGATTCTGTTTACCAAAAGCAAAGAGAAGTGTGAGGAGTTTGCAGTCATTAATATTGGTCTGCTGAAGGTGCCCAGAAGTAAATAATGAAGTTTCCTGATTCCAATCTTTTTCTACGAGAGGCAGATGGATACATAATGCTGTGGACAGTTGTGTAGTGAGCATAGCCTGTGCAACGTGCGGAAAGCTACTGTTACACTATGAAGATCGGAGCAATTTCTCCAGAGATACCTAAAAGGAGCTAAGCAATCCTAGTATCACTGCATGGGAACTTATGGAGAATCTTTAAGGCAAAGCATGCAAGACAACTCAAAGATGTTTTTGTTGTCTGATTCACCGTCTTGCAAGATAACTATGGGCAATATGTAATAAAGTCAAATTGCTAGATTTTATATTTTTGCAAAATTACAATTTTGAGTACTGAAGTGCACATTTATTGCAAGTTCAATCTAACAAATAGCTGTGCCATCTCTGTAAAAAGATAGATATCATATAACATTTCCATCAAAATCTAATAATAAATTCACTAAGTAATATAATATGTAATTTGCCATTCCTACTATGGGTGGTCATAGATGTGAAATAATAAATCAAATCTACAACATCAATAGACCCCTAAGACTGACCAGCAAATAGACAGTATCCAAGGAGTTGTCCCGACACAAGTCTAGCTCTGTGACTGGCACAGTGATGTAGGTGCCACCAACTTCCTTCCCTGTGCTCAACTCGATGAAGGAGAGTTCTCCCAACTCTGTGCCAATGATGGCCAAGGAGGCATCGCCAACCATTGTCTGCCACCTAGAAGGAATGTGCACTGTTATTACATGCTATAAATTTTACCATTCTTCTTTTCTAAAACCAATAATCACTCAGAGCAGGAACTCCCACATAAATGAGTAAATTAAGCTTCTAATTCAACACCCACCCTACTCACCAGACAAGCGATGAAGGCCGGGCCCTGCTCCCATTGGGGGGAAGAACAAGGACATCGTCTGTTTTAAAGCGGTGATCCTGCACAGCCCCAGGGTCCAGGGCGCTGCCCAGGGGAACCACAAAGAGCGTACCATCTCTCGCCTGAAAAAAATAGGATTTATATTATTAGGGTAAGTTGGTCAATGGTGTTTGATTTGCGCTGTATGAATAATAAACAATATAATATTTTTGTTATTGCATCGTTGAGCGGTGAAGTATACTGCGCGAGAGAGAAGAGAGGAGTTAGCAGAGGAGATGAGAGTCAGGCGATGAGCAGAGTAGATGAGCTAGTAGGAGTAGTAGAGTAGGGCTTAGAGGAGTATAAATAGATGTATATGGATGAGTA